AGGCGTGTCAGCATCTATGATAATTACGTGCTTGAAAGCTTGTAAATTCTTGAATCATGGAAGTCAGGGTTTGTTCATGTGACAAATACTTCTAAGAAAGTGAAGTCTTTGGGTGATATTCTAGTGGTAAGAGAATATCCAAGGTTGATTTTAGATGATTTGTTAGAGCTACTACTAGTGCGAGAGATTGATTTCAGTATTGAGCTTTTATCAGGTTTTGAGCTTGTATCTAAGGCATCCTACAGAATGGCAGTTAAGGAGTTGCATGAGCTGAAGTACCAATTGCAAGAATCATTTAGATAAAGGGGGAGCTATAGTGTTATTTGTGAAGAAGGATGGGAGCTTCAGGAGGATGTGTATTGATTACAGGGAGTTGAATAAGCTCACTGTTAAAAATAAATATCCACTACCGAGGATTGACGATTTGTTTGATCAGTTGGAAGGGGCTTCATTATTTTCAAAGATTGGTATGAGGTCAAACTATCACCAGCTAAGGATCAGAGAAGAAAGCACAGCGAAAACCACTTTCAGGACTAGCTATGAGCACTATGAATTTGTGGTATTGCTGTTTGGACTGGCAAATGCTCCAATTTTCATGGATCTAATAAACATGGTCTTCAAGCAGTTTCTAAATACTTGTGATCGTGTTTATATATGATATTTTGGTGTATTCGATGAATGAAATCAGTCATGCAGATCATTTGCATGTCGTACTACAAGTTTTGAAGGAGAATACACTTTATGTCAAATTTTGTAAATGTGAATTTTGGCCTTAAAATGTGACTTTTTTTTGACACATTATCAGTGGAGACAGTATATCTGTTGATCAGAACAAGATTAAGGCGATTGAAGATTGGTCAAGACCTACTACTATAGCCGAGGTCAGAAGTTTTCTAGGTCTGGCTGGTTATTACAAGGTTTGTTGAGGGGTTTTCACATATTGTTATACCACTATCAATGTTGACTCAAAAGGCAATGAAGTTTGAATAGTTTGATCGTTGTGAGGAGGTTTTTCAGAAGTTGAAGGCTTGTTTAATGCCTGCTCCAGTATTAGCCATTTCTTTGGGTTCTAATGGATCTCAGATTTATAGTGATGTATCTTTAAGGGGTTTGGGTTGTGTACTTTTGTTGCATGACAGAGTCATTGCATATGCATCACAATAATTGAAGAATCATGAAAAGAACTATCCCATGCATGACCTGAAGCTTGATGTAGTTGTATTTGCACTCAAGATATGGAGGCATTATTTGTACGGTGTTAGATGCGAAGTATTTACTTACCACCATAGTTTGAAATATATTTTCACTCAAAAAGAGTTGACCTTCGACAGAGATGACTGTAATTTATTAAAGAATATGATTTAGATATTCAGTATCTTACAGGGAGGGTGAATGTTGTTGCTGATGTGCTGAGTAGCAAAGTTTCAGGCAATTTGAACTAATTATTTACTCGGTAGAAGCAATTAATTAAAGATTTGGAGAGGTTTAAGCTATTTATGTTGATTCTCGTGATGACTATGGCTCAGTTAACGGTGCAACCAACTCTATAGGGTAAAATTGGAGATTCTCTAGCTAGAGATAGTAGTATTTAAAAAGTTCTAGAACATGTTCAAATAGACAGTTTAGAAAGATATGCGTTAGATTAGAATGACTTATTGAGGTATAAAGACAGAGTTTATATTCCAGATGTTGATGATCTGAGGAAGGAAATTCTGGAGGAAGCATATTTATCCAACTATACTATTCACCCAAGGAGCAATAAAATATATCAAGATATCAAAGAAGATTTTTGATGGTCAGGATTGAAGTGAAGGGTGGCATCCTTCATGTTAGCTAGTGAAGGCATAATATCAACGTCTTAGTGGTCAGTTGCAGCCTTTGTCGATTCAAGAGTGAAAATGGGAGGAGATTGCGATGGAGATCTTGCCAGGGCCATGATGTCATGTGGGTAATTATCGATCAATTAAATAAGTCTGCCCATTTCTTACCTATTAGGCAGACAAATCCAATTGAGAAGCTAGCCAAATCATATATGGATCAAATCGTGATGTTACATGGAATGTCGAAGTTTATTGTCTCTGATAGAGATGTCAGGTATACTTATAAATTATGGAAAAAAGTTCAGGAAGCTTTGAGTACTTGATTGACTTTCAGTACATCATTTCACTCTCAAACAAATGGTCAGTCAGAAAGGACTATCCAGATCTTGGAAGATCTACTAATTTTATGTGTTCTTGATTTTGGTGGAGGTTGGTAATTCACATATACATTTAGTAGACTTTCTATAATAACAGTTTCCAGGTTAGTATTGGGATGACTCCATATGAAGTCTTGTATGGAAGAGAGTGCGGGACACTCTCATGTTGGGCTGAAATAGGTGAAAGAAAGATCATTAGAGTTGATTTGGTTGATTATGTTATTGAGAAGATTAGACTGATCAGAGATAGGTTGAAGGCAATACCGGATATATAAAGAAAATAATATGATGCCAAATACATATCTATTGGGTTTGAAGTTAAAAGAGTTTGTGTTTATCAAAATCAGTCCATTGAAGGGTGTGCAACATTTTTGGAATGTAGGAAAATTGAGCCCTAGATTTGTAGATCCATTTGAGATTGTGGAGAGGATTGGTAAAGTGGCTTATAGATTAGCTTTACCAACTCATATGCAGGGAGTGCATAATGTTCACACATTTCTTCATTGAGAAAGTATATTACAAATGAATCCAGTAGGGTGATAGTTGACTCAGTTGACATTCAGCCTGATTTGACTTGTATTGAGGAGCCTAAATGAATTTTGAAGCATGATGTGAAAAAATTGTGGAATAGAGAGATCTCTTTTGTGAAGATTTTATGGAAGCACATGTCAGTGGAAGCACAGGTCAGAGAAGGATACTACTTGGGAAAAGGTATTCGAAATGCAAGAAAGATATCCACATCTTTTTTGTTGAGGTATGTTGGTTTATTTTTACTATTTTCAAATTTAGAAGACAATTTTATAAGAAGGAAAGATTGTAATAACAGATATTATATTATTAAAAAAACAAATAAAAGAAAATAAAATAAATAATAATATGCAGCCATTTAGCGAGACGCTTCTTTTCGGGTCAAACATATCGATATTGTGATCATTTGTTCATTTGAACCATCGAACAGAAGCAAACAAGAGAGATAGCGGGAGAAATCGAAAGAACGAATCATCGTGTGTGCCCTGCCGAAAAAGTGGGAAGAGGAAGAAGAAAAGATCGCAGTGCTGTCTGCATCGAGCCGTGCGAAGGAGAAGGAAAGTGGTCGAGCGACATCGAAGACTTACCTGGACCATTCATGCGTAGCATAACACAAGAAATTTAATTCATATTAGGTTATAATTACTCACTAAGTTTTACTTACAGTTGAAGTTAAATGTTTTCTTTCAAAAGAAGGAAAGTTTAGGTGGATATGTCTGATAAGAGAGATTTAGCTATCAGAGAAGGACTACTGCTGTTAAATATTTATACGATAATAGTTTCTTTTACTGTTTCTTTCAATTGTTGATCTACTATTCTATTTCAGATTGAGAAGTTGTTGCTGAATGATTTAAATATATGTATGGGAAGTTTTAAAAATGAGAATAATTAGTTAAATGTTAATATCATCAGACTGCAGTACTGTCTTAAGTTAATTCTAAGCACCGAGTCGGGTCGGGTCACGACAGACTTTTTCTCCTTTTTTAAGGATCTGCTAAATTATTGTGATGGGGTCTACCATCCCTGACACCCAATATTTTAACTCTAGTTTTCATGACAGTAATATGCAGTACTGTACCATTCAGATAATTCTTATGTTTTCTTATCACAATAAATCTGAGTGGCATCTTTTGTGTATTATTTTTGGCATTTTTGGAACCGTACGAATATCCTGTAATTTATCTTATCTTGGGTTGTCACATTCCTTAGCATCTCTCTATTATTTACTTTTTCATGTCTCCTTCTATGATGTTATATTTTGCCTATAAGTCATTAAAAGAAATTTAGGCTTCCTTGGTTTCTTTGATGTTCCATTTGACAGTCCCTTTATATTATGTCCAGGTTGATTTTTTGCTTGGTCTTTTCGGGTTAAATTCTCTTTGCTTTCAATTGTTGTTCTTGGAGCATTTTATTTTTCTCATACATGCAGCCAATTTTTTGCTTTTTTTTGTGCTCTTCTATCAGTGGCTATTCCATAGGTTTGAATTTGTGTACGTTGTATTTTAGATGTATCAGGTACCTCCAGCCAGATGTTGCATCTTTGTTTTGGCATTGATAAAATTCCCTTGAGAGAATTTCTCAAAAAAATCATAAAATAAAAATAAAAATACTGTCTTGAAATATACTTTTTCATACATAAGTTTGCAACCATAGTGTTTGTAAATGTAATAGTCAAACTTTAGGTTTTAGATGTGTAAATACATATGAATAGTGTTGCATGCATGTTAATTTCCCATATATATAATAAGCGAACAGCTTGGCATAGAACTCATTCGTTCCTGGTGACTTTGCTTAAAATGTCTCTAGAAACTGTTAAATAGTTAACACAACATAATCTCCTCACACTATATGAGACATCTCTCCTCATGTAACGTCCTGAATTGTACAGTTAGACTTGACTTATTGATGTCCTATTATATCGCCTTTAGAAACTATCTAAAAATGGACTGGGCCAGCAAATCGAAAAAACTTAGAGAAAGAGAGAGATCTCATCAAACCAAAAAGGGCCATTTACAAACACACCACCCAATTCCTACATATTTACATACCAGACAGTTTAAACTTTATTTTTTTACATTTACATCACCCAAAATTTTCATATCACATCAAAATTACCACCAATCCTAACATCTAAACAAGCAAAATACACCCTTTCGCTCATATGTAACGTAGCATGCATGTAAAACTCGAGTCAAAGCATCAGATATGTAAATCCATAAAAATTGAGTGGTATGCATGTAAATCTTCCTTACAAAAAAAAAAAAAACCTTTTGGTTCAAGCTGAACTCATCCATGTCTGATCCTCAAGCAGACCATTACCAAAATTCAACCGAGCATTGAAAAGCACACTGCGCGGCCGCTTCTTCAAAACCCCCTTGGAACCAAAGCTACCGTTGGAAGAGCAGGAGCTCTCTACAGAGCAGCCATTCATGCGCTCAGCTCGGCTCCCAGGTTTCTCATCCGCCCCTGCTATTTCAGACAAGAGAGGCAGCTGGAGAGGCTCGGATGAGAAGGCCAAGCATCCATGGATTTCTCTGTTGCCGAATTCTGGTGATTTTTGTGGGTTTGATTCGATCTCATTTGCTCTTAGATTTGTATCTACGAGAGCATTGCAGGCTCTTTCCAGAATGGTTTCGAGGTATTTGCTCTGCGCTTCAATCCGCAGCTCGAGACTTCTCTGAACCTGGAGAGATGACATGGTTGCATGAAATTAGCTCTGCAATCATACTGATGAAGGTATTTACATACCTACCATCTAATTCTTATAGATTTACACATCTAGCACCTAAAATTTCTTGATTTTTTACTTTTATACCATGATGTGTTTCATATCATATAATAAATAGCACTGTATTAATTTTTGAAAAATGAAATGCATGTTTTCATGCAGAGGCAAGGTGGCATGGTATGCATGTAAAAATTGAAGTTCAGGTGTTAGATGTGCAAATACATATTCTAAACGCTTTCAGAAATTTTAGCTCATTTAGTTATTTGTGGCTATTGTTCAGCTCTTATTTGCTCAAAATATTAAGAAAATACAATTTTGTTTTTTTTATATTAAACATAGAAACAAATAAATGTATTTAAAATAATTAAAAAAACTTATAACAAAATTATAATATTTAGATAATCAATATAGATATATAAATTAATAATAAATGTTTAATTATTTAATTACTCACCTATTGATTTAATTATTTAATTACTCAACTATTGAGAGTCAAAACAAGCCAAACATGATAGCATGTGCATGTCTGTGATCAACTCAATTATAAATTCTCCTAAATTTTTATTTGTATTCGGCTCGCTTAACAAACAATTTAAAACAAAACACGAGAATAATTTAAAACAAAACGCGAGCTGTTCGTATACAATAAATTTTTTTAATCAAAATTTAAAGCAATCATTAACATGTGGCAATTGGGAATCTCTTCCTTTTTTTCGGTTTGTTTCTACATGAGCTTTAATGTGTAAGAGCAGGTTCTGAAAAACATTTCTGGAATACAAGCAAATACACAGTTCTGCTGCCTATCATATTAAGTTGTTTACAACATTATTGTAGCTATTTAGGGGATATGTTTGATTTATTGAAAAGAAATACAATGTAAAAGAAATGTAGTGAAAAATAAATACAATGTATTGTGAAAAAAATATTTTTATTTCAATGAATACAATACATATGCAAGATTTAGAATTTTTGTATTTAATGTAAAACTTATAAGCCATGGCGGGTGGCAGGTGGTAGGAGGCCGATGACAATGGGAGGTTGTGGTAGCAGGCCATGAGCACAGACGATAACAATGGGAGGTTGTGGTAGCAGGCAGCAAAGGTGATGGGCAAGCAGTAGCTATAGGCAGGTTGTGGTAGAAACCTTGTACTATAAAGTATGAGCACAGGATATGACATAATTTTAAAAAATAGGACAAGACG